CTATGACCACTACCACGATCAAGATAAAGAGCATAGGACATTATCCTTATTACCACCAAAAGTTCTCTTGCACTTTTTTGCAATCAATCCTGTCCCCTACCTCTGACCTCTGGTAACCTCTACTTTCTCCTTTGCCTTTCATGCAGCATTTTGTGTCCAGCTCCCATCATGCATCATGCTTTTGAAATTCATCCATGTCGTTGCAAGTATCAGTTTGTTGCTCTTACTGCTCAGCAGTGTTCCGGGGCATGCACAAACCACAATTTGTTCCAAGGGTCACCCACTGATGGCTATTTGGTTTGTTTTCAACTGGCTATTTTAAGTCAAGTAGCTATAAACCTTTCTGTAGAGATCTTTGTGTGGACATAAGTTTTTATTTCTCTTGGGTAAATATCTAGGAATGGAACTGCTGGGTCATATAGTAAGTACATGTTTGACTTTGTAAAAACTGCCAAACTTTTTTCCTAAGTGGCTGTTCCATTTTTCATTCCTAACAACAATGTAGGAAGAGTTCCAATTGGTTTGCATCTTCACCAACATTGTCTGTCTTTACATTTTTGCCCTTTTAACAGATGTGTCTAGACATAACATTGTGGTATTAATTTGGTTTATCACTGATACCTTTTCATGCATTTATTCTCCATTTGTTTTTTTTTAATATTCTTTTAAAAAATATTTTATTTATTTGAGAGAGAGAGAGAAAGAGCATGAGAGGGGAGAAGGTCAGAGGGAGAAGCAGACTCCCCATGGAGCTGGGAGCCCGATGTGGACTCTATCCCGGGACTCTGGGATCATGACCTGAGCCGAAGGCAGTCACTTAATCAACTGAGCCACCCAGGTGCCCTTATTCTCCATTTGTAATCCACTTTGGAGAGGTGTCTGTTCAAATATTTTCCTTTTTTTTTTTTTTTAAAGATTTTATTTATTTATTTGACAGACAGAGATCACAAGCAGGCAGAGAGGCAGGCAGAGAGAGAGGAGGAAGCAGGCTCCCCGCCGAGCAGAGAGCCCGATGCGGGGCTCGATCCCAGGACCCTGAGATCATGACCTGAGCCGAAGGCAGCGGCCCAACCCACTGAGCCACCCAGGTGCCCCATTCCTTATTTTTTTTAATTGATTGTTTTCTTGAGTTGTTAAAGTTCCTTATATCATCTGTATGTAAATCCTTTAGCAGGTTTATGTTCTACAAATATTTTCTCCCAGTCCATAGCTTGTTTTTTTTTTTTTTTTTTTTTTTTTAAGATTTTGTTTATTTGAGAGAGAAAAAGCAGAGTGAATGAGAGAAAGCATGAACAGGGCTGAGGGGAAGAGGGAGAGGGATACACAGACTCCCTGCTGAGCAGGATCCTGATTCAGGGCTTGATCCCAGGACCCTGGCATCATGACCTGAGCTCAAGGCAGATGCTTAACCAACTGAGCCACCCAGATGACCCAGCTGTTCTGAACGTTTATGGCTTCCCTCATTAAAGACTCAAGTGAAGGGGCATTTCTGTTCTAGTAAATTAGAGAATTCTGCTCCCTATGCCCTAATAGTAAACTTCTCTTTTGCTTAGGCAGTCTGAGTGGGTATGTTATCAGCAACCAAGAGAAGTTTAGGGCTGATGTTTCAACCCTGGTTTAAGTACTTCTTACCTTGTTCCCATTAATTTATTCAGACTCAATAGCCAAAAAGATGCTGTACTTGGGTAATTTTTCAAAAGATCCCTCTAAAACCTCGAGATTAGCCATGAGCATTAGTTCTTCTGACATTTTAATATTAGAATCATTGGATAAGCATATTATAATGATGGTATTTTCATTCCGTTTAACAGGGACATGAAAGAACCTTAGAGGATTTCTAACTCAAGCTGTTCACTTTCATGGAAACTAAAGCCCAAATTGGAAAGAGCCTTGCCCAGTGTTGGAATTAGAACCTTGTTTCTGTCAACACTCAGGCCAAGGTCCTTTGCCAGTGAATTTTTTTTTTTTTTTTTAAAGTAATTCCTGGGGGCACCTGGGTGGCTCAGTCGGTTAAGCCTCTGGTTTCGGCTCAGGTCATAATCTCAGGTCCTGGGATGAGCCCCATTATCTGGCTCTCTGCTCAGCAGGGAGCCCCCTTCCTCCTCTTTCTCTCTCTGCCTGCCTCTCTGCCTACTTGTGATCTGTCAAATAAATGAATGAAATCTTAAAAAAAAAAAAAAGTAATCTCTGTTCCCAATGTGCAGATCAAACTCACAACCCCCAGATCAAGAGTTGCAAGCTCCACTAACTGTGCCCGCTGCCCCTACCAGTGAATTTTTTTTTAGAGCCAAGATGGTATTGTCCTTTCTTTAAATTCCAAGTGAGATCACTCAACAATATTTATTGATTGCCCACTTAATTGGTCAGGACTCTTAGTTGCAAGTTAAAAAAAAAAAAAAGTCTCCAGGAATACATTTGTTTCAGGTACTGTTGTTTCAAGGCTCCAAATCACCGTGAGTATTTTCTTCACCTCTAGGAAAGACTTTCTGTAGGTGGGATACCTGTAGACTCACATCTTATCAGCTTAGCTACTCCAGCAGGACATGCTGGATTATCCTTGGACTTCTCAGTTATGTGAGCAAAAAACTCCTTTTTATTCCCTTAAGCCAATTTGAATTTGGTTTCTGTCACTGAAAAGTGTACAGACTAAAATCACACTTATCAGAAAATTCTTTGCAAACAAGGATAATGATAACCAGATTCTCTTTAAAACATGGAATGTAAGAGTAGTTAGTATAAGGACACCTGGGTGTCTCAGTTGGTTCTGACTCTTGATTTCGGCTCTGGTCATGATCTCAGGATCTCAGATTCAGCCCCATGCTGGGTTCAACAGTGGGTATGGAGCCTGCTTAAGAATCTCCCTTGCCTCGGTGCGCCTGGGTGGCTCAATGGGTTAAAGCCTCTGCCTTCGGGTCAGATCATGATCCCAGGGTTCTGGGATTGAGCCCCACATCGGGCTCTCTGCTCAGCGGGGAGCCTGCTTCCCTTCCCCTCTCTCTCTGCCTGCCTCTCTGCCTGTGATCTGGGTCTGTCAAATAAGTAAATAAAATCTTTTTTTTTTTTTTTAAAGATTTTATTTATTTATTTGACAGACAGAGATCACAAGTAGGCAGAGAGGCAGGCAGAGAGAGAGGAAGGGAAGCAGGCCCCCCGCTGAGCAGAGAGCCTGATGCGGGACTCGATCCCAGGACCCTGGGATCATGACCTGAGCTGAAGGCAGCGGCCTAACCCACTGAGCCACCCAGGCGCCCTAAATAAAATCTTAAAAAAAAAAAAAAAAACTCCCTTGCCTCACCCCCAACCCCGCTTGCCCTGAAGCTCTTCAAAAAAAAAAAAAAAGAAAGAAAAAAGAGTAGACAAGATAAGTAGAAGCAGAAAGAACACATAGAGAAGACAGCCACCCAGGCCTGATATACTATCTTGGTTTCTATTCTTTTTTAAGATTTTATTTCTTTATTTGAGAGAACGGGATCAAGAAAGAGCACGAGTATGCATGCAGGGAGAGGTATAGTGGGAGAGGGAGAATTCCAGACTCTGTGCTAAGCCCAGAGTCTGATGCAGGGCTATGTCTCGCAAACCGAGATCACGACCTGAGCTGAAACCAAGAGTCGGATGCTCAATGAACTGAGCCACCCAGGTGCCCCATATTCTTTACCTCTTTTATCTCTTCTCTACTTTTTATCTTTAAAAAAAAAAAAAAATTTTAGAATGATTTTCCTTTTCTCTATCTATTTACTTGAGAGAGTGAGACAGAGAGCATGAAAGGGGAGAGGGTCAGAGGGAGAAACAGACTCCCCACCAAGCAGGGAGCCCGACGTGGGACTTGATCCCAGGACTCCAGGATCATGACCTGAGCCAAAGGCAGTTGTCCAACCAACTGAGCCACACAGGCACCCTACTTTTTATCTTCTTAGAATTTCTTATTCATGGAGTGCCTGGGTGGCTGTGTGGGTTAAAAGCCTCTGCCTTTGGCTCGGGTCATGATCCCAGGGTCCTGGGATCCAGCCCCGCATCGGGCTCTCTGCTCAGCGGGGAGCCTGCTTCCCCTTCTCTCTCTGCCTGCCTCTCTGCGTACTTGTGATCTCTCTCTGTTAAATAAATAAATAAAATCTTAAAAAAAAAAAATTTCTTGTTCGTAACTTTAGCCTATTCTTGGTTCTATCAGCATCACAGATTGGATTACTGCATAATATCCTAAACTGATTTGACTCTGAAGTCTTTTTCTTAGAAACAACACCAAGTAATTGTCAGCAAAGCCTTCTGGGCTTTACACAGAACAAGCAAGAAGAGGTTTCCTCTTCCACCTTTGTTTTTTTTTTTTGTTTTTTTTTTAAAGATTTTGTTTATTTATTTGACAGACAGAGATCACAAGTAGGCAGAGAGGCAGGCAGAGAGAGAGGAAGGGAAGCAGGCCCCCCGCTGAGCAGAGAGCCTGATGCGGGACTCGATCCCAGGACCCTGGGATCATGACCTGAGCTGAAGGCAGCGGCCTAACCCACTGAGCCACCCAGGCGCCCCCCTCTTCCACCTTTGTAAGGCTCCTCATGACATCCTAGGATCTGAAATAACCAGTTCTAACTAATGTGGTGACTACACTTGGACTAGATCACATGTGGGCTTCCCTGAGGCAGGAGGCTTGACAAGACAACCAAGATCCTTTCTAGGCAAGTAATCATGCCTGCAATTTTCCTGGTTCTTTGTTATTTAATATCTTTAAGTCTCAATTACTATGGCAATAAAATGAGAGAAAGCACCCACATCATGGATTTGGAAGAAGAAATGAAACATGTAAAATGGCTGGTATAATATGGCCATTACAGAATGAATATTCTCCTCCCTCAAATTTTAATATGTCACTTACTATATAAAGTATTACCCAATTATCTTTCATTCAGATGCCTTATAATTTATACGATGGAATAGTACTATTCCACATATGACAGACATTAAGAATGACAAAAATGAACCATCAGGATTTTTTTTAAACTATAAAAAGTTGCTGCAGTTTTTCAAATGATTTTATTGGATTTAAAATTCCTTTAAGGGATATACAGATATACAACTAGTTTGATCAGCTACTAATATATTTTGGTATCCCTTTATTCTTGTACTTAAGAGCCAGTTCACTTTTTCTCCATGTTCAATACTTAGCTTTGGTAAAATTTTGCCATGTTCTTCTTCATCTGCTGGGGCATGATAAGTGTTTCCACCCTGCTTCGTATAAGATGCTCTCTTAGTTTTCTTCCTGTGAGTAGGTTTCGTAGGACTCTTCTGTTTTTTTTCAACTTCACTGCTTACATCCCACAACATTATCTTCCCATCATTCCCTCCTGTAAGCAGCAAATAGGATTCTGGCAGAAAGCAGACCTGGGATACTCCCAAAGAATGGCCCTTAAATCCTAATTCTTGATCACACTTAACTCCCATCACCCTAAAGATTCGAACCTTACCATCTTCTGCACCACAGCTAAAAATATTACCACATGATGCCACAGACACAGAGTGGGCTAAAGCAGGGTTTAAAAGCTGACCAGGTGATTGTGGGCTTTCCATCTCTTCTGTTTCATCTTCCTGCAAATTTGTAATCCAGAGTGGCCGTGCTTTCTGAAGGTTCCATAGCATTACCTTTAAATAAGAGGGAGTCATGCAAACAGACATTTAGCCATTTTGCTCAATTACCATGCTTATTCCACTTCTAATAAAGTCACCAAAGTAGTCTCATAATTACTACAACACAGGTCCAGCAATATTACATTTTTAAAAATTCACACAGCACTATAATATGCCAGGGGAATGCTACCCTGGAGCCAAAACCAGGATGCCAGTGGGCAGTGAGGTAGAATTTAGAAAACAAGATCCTAAATAACTTGTGATTAACAACCCCATTAAAGTGCAATCCACATTCTTAAGCAATTGCCAGTTTAAGTCATTGTACCCTTATCTCTGCAAGTAAAATGGAAGAGTATGAAATGTATTTAATTTTTTAAAATACTTTATTTATTTGACAGAGAGAGAAAGCACAAGCAGGGGGAGTGGCAGAGAGGGAGAAGTAGACTCCCCTCTGAGCAGGGAAAATGACGTGGGGCTTGATCCCGGGCTGTGGGATCATGACTTGAGCTGAAGGAAGATGCTTAACTGACTGAGCCATCTAGGCACCCTGAAGCCATCCAGGCACCCTGAAGTCATTAATAAATAATGAGATTTATTAATTTTAGCCTATGCCAGTTGCAAGTCAAAAAGCCTGTCAAGTTAAATACATGAAATCTGGAACGCTTTCTCTTTCCTTTCACATTACCTAAATTACCCATTTTAGGGGCTTACCTCAAGTCCCTATCCCTCTAAGACGGCTTTTCTAACTATTCCAGCTTACTTCTCTCCCATATTTGATTTCTATGCTATTTACCAACATATACTACTAGCTTGTCAGTTTCTTGAGATTTAATTCTTCTTTTTTTTTTTATTTTAAGTAGACTTCATGCCCAGTATGGGGCAGGAACTCATTACCTCAAGATCAAGAGTCACATACTCCACTGCTAAGCCAGCCAGGAGCCCTGAGATTTAATTCATCTTTGCTAATATCTAGCACAATGCCTGGAAAAGAGCAGAAGTTCCATACCTGTCTGTTGGTTAATTTGACATCCTGATATATGCAGTTTTTTTGTTGTTTCATACTATGATTTTGGACCTACTAAATTGATTTGAATGAAAGGCTAACTAAAACCTGTATAAAACAAAACAAAAAGCTTTGTGAATTGATTTTACTCTATAATCTAGTGATGCATTTTATTCCCATAGCAACTAATCTGAAAAGGAAAATATTCTTCATATTTCAGAGAATAGACATCCTTATTTTACCATCTAATATCTTTTAAAAATATTTTATTTGTGGGGCGCTTGGGTGGCTCAGTGGGTTAAAGCCTCTGCCTTCAGCTCAGGTCATGATCCCAGGGTCCGGGGATCGAGCCCCACATGGGGCTCTCTGCTCGGCAGGGAGCCTGCTTCCTCCTCTCTTTCTGCCTGCCTCTCTGCCTACTTGTGATCTCTATCTGTCAAATAAATAAATAAAATCTTTAAATAAAAAAAAAAAAAGTTAAAAAAAAATAAAAATAAAAATATTTTATTTGTTTATTTATTTGAGAGAAAAAGTGCATGGGCAAGTGGGGAGAGAGAAAAAGGGAGAGAGAGAAAAAAAGAGAATCTCAAGCAGACTCCACACCGAGTGCAGAGCCCAATGTTGGGCTCCATCCTTAGACCCTGAGGTCATGACCTGAGCCGAAACCATGAGTCAGATGCTTAATAACTGAGCCACCCAGGCGCCCCATATTTTACCAACTAGTATTAGCTCATAATTACGAGTCACAATTTAAATGGACACTAGAATAAGCATGACCATGTTCAGTCAAAAGCATAGATCTGAACTGACAAGATTACTACTGCTGGGATGCCTGGGTAGCTCAGTCAGTTAAGTGACTGCCTTTGGCTCAGGTCAGGATCCCTGTGTCCTGGGATTAAGTCCCAAATCAGGCTCCCTGCTCAGCGGGGCGTCTGCTTCTCCCTCTGCCTCTGCAGCTCCCCCTACTTGTGTTCTCTCTCTCTTTCTGACAAACAAATTTTTTTAAAAAAAGATTACTACTGCTGATGATACTAACAATTTGGTTTTCTTTTGATGGTAACTTCCCTCAACTTAGCCTTCCAAAAGAAGTGACATCCAGTAACACTTATATTCTGTTTCTATCAAGGAAAGCACTGAACCCTTCTGGATTAGATTTATAACATTATACTAAGTAGTCAGCAGTTGCTATTTGACTGAAGACAGAATACTAAAAAAGTCAAAGTAAATTAAAGTAAAATAAAGAAATATCAGAAACTATAACAAAGATGAACAAGTACTAAAATGTAAGGTGTAGGGGTGCCTGGGTGGCTCAGTCATTAAGCATCTGCCTCTGGCTCAGGTCATGATCCCAGGGTCCTGGGATTGAGCCCTGCATTGGGCTCCCTGCTTGGTGGGGAGCTTGTTTCTTTCTTCCACTCCCCCTGCTTATGTTCCCTTCTCTTGCTGTATCTCTCTCTGTCAAATAAAGAAATAAAATCTTTAAAAATGTAATGTGAAACAGGGCGCCTGGGTGGCTCAGTGAGTTGGGCCTCTACTTTCGGCTCGGGTCATGATCTCGGGGTCCTGGGATCGGGTCCCGCATCGGGCTCTCTCCTCAGCAGGGAGCCTGCTTCCTCCTCTCTCTCTCTCTCTCTCTCTCTGCCTACTTGTGATCTCTGTCAAATAAATAAATAAAATCTTTAAAAAAAATGTAATGTGAAACAATCTCTATAAAAAAGTCTAAACACAAGGAAGACAGACATTTCAGAATCTGCTAGCTTACATGTCTTGGCAGGTATCCCCAAGTCTTTCTTGCACAGTCCTGCATGATGCCTGGATTATATTTTCTGTCCTTGTAAGACATCTAAACAAGAACTATACCCAGAGTGTTTTCAGCAGCTTACACATTTTTTTGTATTTACTGAAATCATCTAATTGTAGTAACAGTCATCTCAGATTCTACCAATCCAAGAATCATTTCCAAATACTGAAGCTTCCAGACTGTTCCTGCCTGGACATTCTCTATACCATCACTTTATTCTTCCTAACTGCTGAATATTCTAAGGTGTTTCACAATTTCTCAACCACTGGTTCCAGTGGTCTCACCCTAAGAAGGAAAGCAAGAGATGCTGAAAGAAAAGAATTCAAAAGTTTGGGGTTTATGATCCTACAAAATGTCAGAGGAGGAGAAAGTGGACAACTGGCAAACATTCAGAAGTGAAAGCAATCACATCAATATGACTCCACTCATGAATTACTCCTCCTACAGAAACATTTCTTTCCACACGGAAGAATAATCTTCAAGAAAAAAAAGCCTCTTTTACCAGCCTGATCCTTAAGTGCTGGTACTAGTGATCTTTCAAACTCCAGAAAGAACACTAACCTTTGAAGGATTTATTTTCAGATGTGGAAAGGAAGGGCAAAAAAAATCAATGTTTATGCCACAGAAATACAGGATGGTCTTAAATTTCCAAAGGTCTTTATAAGAGAAAACTGTATTTGAGTGGTGGCTACCCATGTATTTATTTAACGTTATTCTTTTTTTTTTTTTTAATTTTTAAGATTTTTTTTTTATTTATTTGATAGAGATCACAAGTAGACAGAGAGGCAGGAAGAGAGAGAGGAGGAAGCAGGCTCCCGGACGAGCAGAGAACCCAATGGGGGCTCAATCCCAGGACCCCGGGATCATGACCTGAGCCGAAGGCAGAGGCTTAACCCACTGAGCCACCCAGGTGCCCTCAAATTTTTTTTTTTAAGATTTTATTTATTTGACAGGGAGAAAGACAGCAAGAGAGGGAATACAAGCAGGGGAGTGCGAGAGGGAGAAGCAGGCACCCCCCCGATCAGGGAGCCAGACTCGGGGCTCAATCCCAGGACCCTGGAATCACGACCTGAGCCAAAGGCAGCCTCCTAACTGATTGACCCACCCACGTGCCCTCAACTGTCTTAATAAACCACTTTAAGATCCCTGCCCCTCTAAGTGTGCTTGCCTAATCATTTAAACCTATCTAGATTGAAAGATATAATTTTTATAATTTCTATAATAACAAAGATAGTTACAATAAATGCATCTACTATGTGTGGCAGTAATTCAATTCCTGCCTTGAGATAAAATATTTGTTCAGAGAGAAAGCGCTCCCAAAATTAACCTGATAAGAATTCCCTTCCACTACTGTATCTATATTCTTTTTTCTTTTTAAAAAAGATTTTATTTGTTTATTTGACAGATCACAAGTAGGCAGAGAGGAAGGCAGAGAGAGAGGGGGAAGCAGGCTCCCTACTGAGCAGGGAGCCTGATGTGGGGCTCGATCCCAGGACCCTGGGATCATGACCTGAGCCGAAGGCAGAGGCTTTAACCCACTGAGCCATCCAAGCGCCCCGTATCTACATTCTTGGACCCTTCCATAGGCTGGCTATTCTTGAAGTTTAGAATAATACTGGATAGCCAGGTTTTAAGAAGTAAACTGTGGAATATATTACAGTTTCAACTTCAGATAAGGAAAGTAATTCCCTAAAAGCATAGTTGAGCTGTCTTACCACTGTTGGTATAGCACAACCCAATGTAGAAATTAATCTACAGTGACATTTTAATAAGTCTTGGGAGTCAAATCATCTAAATCTCCTTCTCACAAAATACTTATATCCTACACTGTCCTCTAGCAGCTGCCTGCCACTATAACTTCTCTCCTAGAACTGGAGGCAAAATGATAAATTCTGGATGCCCATTTCTTATGTAACGTGAAAAGTATATACGTTATTTTTGCACACTGAATTGTTTACTGCCATGCCTAGTAAGTTAATGAACCGGTGACTGACAACTGGTATTAAGTTGAAGAATGAAAGAATGAGGGGTTCCTGGATGGCTCAGTGGGTTAAAGCCTCTACCTTCGGCTCAGGTCATGATCCCAGGGTCCTGGGATCACATTTTAGGTAAGACAGTTCTTTACTGTTTAGGGACTGTCCCAGTGCTTTAAGACACTCCCTGATTCTGCCTACTAAATACCAGTAGCTTGGGGGAGGGTAATGGCAGTCATTATGAAAATAACAACATCAGCCTCATTTTCTTCTGACTTTTGAGTGGGTGCAGAGGGTAGAGAAGGGAATAGTAAATATTGTTGGCCAAAAAGATAGATAAATCTTTGATGCAATTAATGAAATCACAGAGTCTTGAAAGATAACTGTACACAGTTAAGGATGTAGATTAAATGCCTACAACAGTGCAGGGCACACAGGTCATTAATCAACGGTTCTTTTTCTAGAACTCACCTGTTCCCAAACCAAGAACTTTTTCTACTACATTACACATGATATCCTGCTTGATACCGCTGATATCACAGAAAAAACATACAGGCTTTGGAGCCAGAGAGAATGAAGATTGGAATCTCAATTGAGGCAGCTATGTGGACACTTATTTTTTTTTTTTTTTTTGTCAGAGAGAATGAGCACAGGCAGACAGAGTGGCAGGCAGAGGGAAAAGCAGGCTTCCTGCTGAGCAAGGAGCCCGATGCGGGACTCGATCCCAGGACGCTGGGATCATGACCTGAGCCGAAGGCAGCCGCTTAACCAACTGAGCCACCCAGGCGTCCCTGTGGACACTTATTTTAAACCTCAGTCTCTTTCTAAAAAAGAAATAGTAACTATCAGGGTGTGATTACAGTGAAGACTAATATATGTAAAGCTGGCAAGTACTAAGTGCTCACCAAAGAGAAGTAATGATTATTCTCACTCCAGTGATACAAGATTTACTTTTAAGAAGAAGTACATCTGCTATGAGAAAGTTCAAGCTATCGGGGACAGGGGGGAGCTCTCTTTTATTAAACAAAAATCTAGGGGCACCTGGGTGGTTCAGTTGGTTAAATGTCTGCTTTTGGCTTGGGTCATGAACCCAGGGTCCTGGAATCAAGCTTGGCAGGGATCTGCTTCTCCCTCTCCTCCCTGCTTATGCTCCTTCTCTCTCTCAAATAAATAAAATCTTAAAAAACAAACAAACAAACCCGAAATCTGCTTCTATAGGACTTCTATTTAGACTAGCACATTCTACTTTTCCCTCTCATGAAAACCAAGAATTAAACACTTCCATTTACCCCACAAAATGGAGTTTCTAGATACATCTACTCTCCTGATGGCTTTCCTCTGAATTTGGTCTAACTTGTTATATTCCTTTCAAAACTCATTGAATGCAATGCTCTGATCTTGGTCACCAATACACAATACTTCAATAGATGTACCACAGAATTTTAAAGTAAAAACAAAGTAAAAACAAAAAAATCCTTATTTAAAAAAAAAAGTTTGTAGAGAGTGGGTGATAAAGTCTGCCTTTAGCATGCTCTTTTCTTTAAAAAGATATTTAGAATCAAATATTTGAATTCCCAGAGTTTATGACTCTTAGGTATAGAGGAAGGAAAGCTAAAGGATAAATGATTACTTTCTGAATGAAACCTACTAGGCTTTGTCAAGTTAGCATTAAAAATGCAGTAGAAGTAAGGCTAATGATTCATACATAGAAAAGATATGTCAGTAGAGAACAGAAAAAGCAAAGATATACTTAGCCTGATCAGTAATTTGATCATTCCTAATATAGAAATTATCCAAGTACTCTCTGCAAAGCATTACCTGCATATCCAGTCCACATGATACCAGGCTCTGAGGCCTTTGAGGCCGAAAAGCTATAGAGGAACAGATATTGGAATGTCTCTTCAGTGATCTGCTAACTTTGTTATTTTCCAAGTCTAGGATTTTAATTGCCCCGGAGTCATCAGCAGAAGCCAGCAGGTTTTCAGTGTCATTCAATGAGAGGCAATTGATTTCTTCTTCATTCACGTGAAAATGGTCCACAGAACCTTTGAGGGACCGGACATCCAGTAAGCTAATGGTTTCTCCATGCGAGGCATAGAGCTTGGTGGGGCAGGAGGGAGAGAATAAGACACTGGTAACATCATCAGCTCCTTGGAAGCGTGTATGTCCTAAAGGAGTCCCATCTTCACCCCAAGCCATGAGATCACCACCTTCTGCTCCAGAAGCCACTAGCCCTTCTTGACTTGCATTCAGGCAGAGAATAGGAGAAGAATGTCCACCAGTCCATTTGACAGCCATTATGGCCCAGGAGACCCTGAGAAGAGGGGGAAAAACTACAATCTCTTATTTAAGATCCTGATGGTAGCAGACAAATGCAATACGCAGTATTTCATTTAAATATTTTTAAAAAGACATCTAAAAAAACTTAATTTAAAAAAAGAAGACATTTGAAGATCAAGTCTACAAAAGCCTAGCTGGGACACAGGATCATGGGACCCCTGGCTGGCACATGCATAAATAGGCTTTCTTTGTAATCAGGGTCCCAGGCAAACCTGGTCTTCCAGTATTTGATGTGAGGCCCACACAAGAATAAACATTATAGGGGAACCTGGGTAGCTCAGTCAGTTAAGTGTATGCCTTCCACTCAGGTCATGATCCTGGGGTCCTGGGATTGAGCCCCGTGTCGGGTTCCCTGCCCAGCGGGGTCTGCTTCTCCCTTTCCCTCTGCCCTCTACACCCCAATTCATTCTCTACCCCTCCTGAAATAAATAAATCTTAAAACAAACAAACAAACAAACATTATATATTTAAACTAAGAAAATACTTTTTAAAAGAGATCTGCTCAGGGCGCCTGGGTGGCTCAGTGGGTTAAGCCTCTGCCTTCGTCTCAGGTCATGATCTCAGGGTCCTGAGATAAAGCCCCGCATTGGGCTCTCTGCTCAGCAGGGAGCCTGCTTCTCCCCTCTCTCTGCCTGCCTCTCTGCCTACTTGTGATCTCTCTCTCTGTCATAAATAAAATCTTTAAAAAAAAATGTAAAGCACATATAATAGTGCTTGGTACATGACTGCTCAACAAATATTACCATTATCGCTTTTTTTAAAGTAATCTCTACACCCAACGTGGGGCTTGAACCCACAACCCGAGATCAAGAGTGGCAAGCTCCATCAACTGAGTCAGTCAGACGCCCCTCACTTTTCCCAGTTTTATTAGGCTGGTCAAAGTGACATCTTAGATCTACACCAATAGTGCTCAAAGTATGGCCTCCAGACTGTGAGCATCACCTAGGAACTTAGAAATTGCCCAATACCACCCTAGACCAACTGAACCAGAAATACTGGGGTTGGGGCCCAGCCATGTGTTTTAACAAGCCCTCCAGGTGATGCTGAGGTATGCTAAAATTTGAGAATACTACACCAATAATCATCCAGGGAAATGGTTAAAAAAAGACCCTTGGATTTTACCACCAGAGACTAATTCAGTACATTATTTAACTTTATTCTCAAGACAACCCTTCTTTTTTTTTTTTTTTTAAAAGAATTTATTTATTCATTTGACAGAGAGAGATCACAAGTAGGCAGAGAAGCAGGCAGAGAGAGAGAGAGAGGAGGAAGCAGGCTCCCCGCCTAGCAGAGAGCCCGATGCGGGACTCGATCCCAGGACCCTGAGACCATGACCCGAGCCGAAGGCAGAGGCTTAACCCACTGAGCCACCCAGGCGCCCTCAAGACAACCCTTCTGTTTAGTATTATTCCATTTTAAAGATAATAAAACTTGAGTTTCAGAAGTGTTAAATAATTTGATCAAAGTCATCTGGCCTTTACGATTTGTCCATGGGACCCGATATAAAGGGATCCCAAATTTTTATTTTATTTATTAGAGATTTTATTTATTTATTACACAGAGAGAGAGAGCAGGAGAGCACAGCAGGGCAGTGGCAGAGGGAGAAGCAGGGTCCCCACTGAGCAGGGAGCCTGATGTGGGGCTTGATCCCAGGACCCTGGGATGATGACCTGAGCCAAAGGCAGTTGCTTAATCAACTGAGCCTCCTAGGCGTCCCTGGCTCCCTGATTTTTGAATAACGAAGACCGTTTTCTAATAATTCCACTGACAATAGTTGTTTTATTTGGTTAAGATTTTATTTATTTATTTGACAGACAGAGATCACAGGTAGGCAGAGAGGCAGGCAGAGAGAGAGGAGGAAGCAGGCTCCCTGCCAAGCAGAGAGCCCGATGTGGAGCTAGATCCCAAGACCCTGGGATCATGACCTGAGCTGAAGGCAGAAGCTTTAACCCACTAAGCCACCCAGGCACCCCTTGACAATAGTTTTTAACTTTAGTATTCTCTGAAAGTACAGAAAATAACCCAAAGTCACAAATAATTCATTACTGCTTTTTAAAATTTTATTTTTAAAGATTTAGTGAGTGGTGTGCTCATACAAGCAGGAGGAGGGGAAAGCAGAGAGGGAGAGAGAAGCAGGCTCCCTGTTGAGCAAGGAGCTTGATGTCCTGCTCCGTGGCTTGCTGACCTGGATGGAAGGCAGACTCTTAAAGGACTGAGCCACCAAGGGACCCCTCATTATGGCTTTTAAATGTACTCATATATTTTTACTATTTTTTATTAAAGTTTATTTATTTATCTCTACACCCAACATGGGGCTCAAATTCATAACCCTGAGATCAAGAGTCACATGCTCTACTGAATAAGCCAGCCAGGTACCCCATACTCACGTGTTTTTAATTTTCTTATCACCTGCTTACACTTAACAGTAGTGCTTATGTGCAAAATTTAGACTCCTGATACACTAGGCATCCCAGATTTATACAATGAAATTGCCACATAAGAGTACCCTGCCTCAACTGCCTGTTGGGTAAATCAAAAAAGGAAATAAGGGCAATTTATGTAACTCTAAATGTTCAGACAAAAAGAAGCAAACAAATCTACCTGAACAAATTTAATGTTTAATTTCACAAGCCAAGGGAGAATTTCTCTGAGAAACTGCCATAGCTGCTTTCATATTTTCAGATATGACACCTGAATTCAATCCAATTATACAGATAAATTTCCTAATATTGTTTTGAAAAATAATTTAAAATACTGGCAATCTGCCTAAAGTTTCTATTCCTGACACAAAGCTTACTTCCTCCCATTTTTAGGCACTCACACATACACAAAATAACTAGACTGCTAAAAAAAAACTTTCAGTAATCAAAGTAACAGAGGGGTGGGGGGAGTAACAGAAACATGGTCACAAAATCTTATATAGTAATTTTCATAAAGATGACAAAATGGGAAAGACAAAAAGATACCTTATTTCAGCAGAAGCACTGAATTAGAATACAGAGGAAACTAGAGACGAAATAAGTTTTAAAGGAGAGGTTTGGAGAGGAAATGACTCAGAAAGAGTAAAGACAGGGAACTCTGGTGGTTTGATTTTTGCTGACAAGTAATGAAACAGTAGTTAAATAATTTTCTACCATAAAATAATTTTCTACCAAAAAAAAATAGTTAAATAATTTTCTACCATAAAAAACTTTTGCCAAATGTTCAAGATAAGCCAAGAAAAAAGAACACTTAGCCCAATTTAAAATGAAAGGTATTAATATTTAGGCTTAGGGACTGTCATCTGTGGTGACTACTGATTTGTCAGATAATATAAACAATATACTACCTTAAAATATGAAATTTGTAGTAACCATTGAAAAGGCCACTTCAAGGGGCGCCTGGGTGGCTCAGTGGGTTAGGCCGCTGCCTTCGGCTCAGGTCATGATCTCAGGGTCCTGGGATCAAGCCCCGCATCGGGCTCTCTGCTCAGCAGGGAGCCTGCTTCCTCCTCTCTCTCTACCTGCCTCTCTGCGTGCTTGTGATCTCTCTCTGTCAAATAAATAAATAAAATCTTTAAAAAAAAAAAAAAAAAGAAAAGGCCACTTCAACTACAAATAATTTTGTTTAGGGGCACCTGGGTGGCTCAGTTGGTTAAGAGGCTGCCTTTGGCTCAGGTCATGATCCCAGTATCCTGGGATGGAGCCCCTCATCAGGCTCCCTTCTCAGCGGGAAGCCTGCTTCTCTCTCTCTCCCACTCCCCCTGCTTGTGTTCCCTCTCTCACTGTGTCTCGCCCTATCAAATGAATAAATAAAATATTAAAAAACAAAAAACAAATAATTTTGTTTAACTCTTTTCTTTAGAGATCTGATCACGTATTTCCTACATTAGTTTTAGTTTTTCTACAGTGAAACAACTTTAAAGTCCGGAAGTCTGCCCTCTACAGCTTTAGGATTTTATGTGCATAGAGGTTTTGGATCCCTGCTGGGATTTTAGGTTTTATCTATGTCAAGAATGAAATAGGGCTTCTAGTACTTCTATTTCTCCATCACATTTTCTACCCACAGGGGACCTAAATAAATGCTGACTATCAGACAAAGTATATTTCTTCTAAATATAATTTTTTAAAAGGAAACGATTAACTCAATTTTTTTTTTTAAAGATTTTATTTATTTGACAGAGAGAAATCACAAGTAGGCAGAGAGGCAGGCAGAAAGAGGAGGAAGCAGGCTTCCCGCTGAGCAGAGAGCCCGATGCGGGGCTCGATCCCAGGACCCTGAGATCAGGACCTGAGCCGAAGGCAGAGGCTTTAACCCACTGAGCCACCCAGGCGCCCCCGATTAACTCAATTTTAAAGACACATTTGGTTAAGCTCACCCCAAGTGTGAGAAATTAGGTAATAAATGGATTTTGTACTTAAAGGAATTATTATAGATAAGAACACTGTTCCCGGGCGCCTGGGTGGCTCAGTGGGTTAAGCCGCTGCCTTCGGCTCAGGTCATGATCTCAGGGTCCTGGGATCGAGTCCCGCATCGGGCTCTCTGCTCAGCAGGGAGCCTGCTTCCCTTCCTCTCTCTCTGCCTGCCTCTCTGCCTACTTGTGATCTCTGTCTGTCAAATAAATAAATAAAATTTAAAAAAAAAGAAAAAAAAGAAACACTGTTCCCGTAAATTCTTCCATAATGGAAGCAGTAACATCTACCTATTAATCTCACAAGAACAAGGTCAGCTCTACCTTAACCTCTTAAACAAATTAGACTTCTAATCTCTACATCATATGGATAATATTTACTGATCACTAACCTAGTTAGAAAAATAAAAATAGAGACCTATTAGCTTAAGCAGACTATTAATCAATGAGTCAACCAGAGCCCCCCAAATCACGTTTCCTTAGTCTACAAAATTATTTGTTATTACTTAAAACACACCCAAAGACCACCATCAAAAAGTATTAATAATAGACTGCTGTGGTAGAAGGCAGTGGGAAAAAAACATATAATTAAATCTGAGTTAAAGGAAAACAATCTTTCAGAAATGATTTGTCAAGCCACTGTTTCTTGTTTTTCTCTTACTGGGACTGGAAAGCCTACCAGAAATAGGTAGTGCCACTATTTCCAAATTCAGGTATCAGGTCAACAAGTTTCTCTTCTCATAGGTAATGTCTAAAGCACAGCAATTAATCACGTCCTGCTGTGAATGACTCTAATTAGATAATAAATTCCTTCAACATCTATGAGATCATGGAGTGGGCAGGGAAAGGTGGGGTATCTTGAGAGCAGTTTTAGAAAGGGTAGAAGACAAAGATGGAAGTTCTGAAGTCAGTCAGAGGGCAAGAGGGTACTAAAAATTGGGGAGGGGCAAGGTCAGGAGGGCGATTTGTAGAAAGAAAAGGACTTAGTCATAAAGATAATCTTTTCCAGGGCACCTGAGTGGCTCAGTCGGTTAGGCATCTGACTCTTGATCTCAGCTCAGGTCTTCATCTCCAGGTGGTGAGTTCAAGCCTTCATGGGGGTCCACAATGAGTGTGGAGCTTATTTAGAAAAAAAAAATTTTTTTAGGGGCATCTGGGTGGCTCAGTGGGTTAAGCCTCTGCCTTCTGTTCAGGTCATGATCTCAGGGTCCTGATCTCAGGGTCCTGGGATCGAGCCCCACATCAGGCTCTCTGCTCAGCAGGCAGCCTGCTTCCCCACCCTTCTCCCTGCCTGCCTCTCTACCTATATGTGATCTCTGTCTGTCAAATAAATAAATAAAATCTTTAAATTTATTTAAAAAAAAAAAGAAAAAAATTTTTTAAAGAAATCTAAGTGCCTTCCCAGACAAAACTTGGACCTCCTTCCTTGGATGTCTTACAGTTCAAAGTTGAAAAATGAATAATGAATAAAACTTCCTAGTCTGAGATTACAGTACCATTCAAATAATATCAAATAATATCACTATCACTATAGTAAATATAAGTCAACTTTTCTTCACATGTTTAGAGTTTTCCAAAGTTGGTGTTGATGTGGAGAAGCTGGATAGCGACCAAAATGATTGAAGGCCTATGGTATCAGCACTAGTAAGGAAAGAATCTGGGATACTAAGCTGGGAGAAAAAACAAAACAAACATCTGGGATGAAGGGACTAGCAAATAATAATCAAACACCATTTACCATAGAGTAGAGAAGGCAATTGCTGTTCTTTTGTTTTTAATGGTGAACTAGAAATGTATTATACACGGCAGGGGAACTACTTAAAAGATTTCTTACTACATAAAGGCAAGACAGTGGAGTTCACTACTAAGGGAATCTGTGAGCCCTATTATAGTAATAACCTCAGAGTTGTTTTGAGAGTTATATAAAACCCGAGTAAAGGACCCTACCACAGTGCCTTGTTCACATGATGGCTAGTATTTTCCCTCACTAAACATTCTTTAAAACCTGTCAGAAAACTTCTGGTCACTTAGGAAAATGCAGTATGATCAAATGCGTAAATTCTTTCACTTCCAAGATGTTATCTATAATTATAGCCTCCACATCATTCTCCCTTTTGGAATGTCTAATTATATAAAAACACGCTGCCTTGATCCGCCTACTAATCGGGTTAGTAGGAAAGACTGGGAAAGGCTGCATTTTGTCCAAAAGAATGGAGCACTTAATCAGCAATTACACGGCACTTTGAGGCTATCCAAACATTTGGGCGGGGGGTAGAAGATTCAAATGACGACCTTACTTGCTGAATATATGCTATTCGGATTAACTACATGTTCTGATTAAGTACACTACCAATAAAGAACAAAAGGATCTGACCAGGAGAAGACGACCTCAGCTGCTAAAAGTAAAGAAAGAAGATCCAATTCAAGCCGAAGGTGGAAAGCTAGGAACTGGCTAGCAAAGCGAGGGAAGTTTCATGCGTTAGGTTGGAGCCTGAGGCAGGGATCTGACACAGGGAAACCTCACAGGGAAAGGGGCCCAGGAAGGCAGACGCGAGAACACTAGATCAAAAAGAGGAAAAGGCACCGGAGGACAGCCACAAAACCGCAGCTCCAGCCTCATACCTGCGTTTCCCGCTTCCCTCCTCGGCGCCTCGCGATGACCTCACCCGTGAGCGCCCAATCCCATGTAGGATTGGGCGCGGGGCGCCTCAGCCAAACAGTCACATCCGGGGCCGAGAGGAACCGCGAGCGAGCTGGGCGTGCGCCCTTGCTTCGTGCCCTCAACCAGTATGGCGGAGCCACGGGCGCGCCGCGGGGAGGCCGTGCGAGTCGGGCGGTTCCTACACCCGCGCTGAGCCGGGGAGGAGGGGCGGGGGACGCCCGTGCAGCCGGTGCGTCTGCCCTTAGTGAGGCGGGGCGCGCGGCGGACGCCCCCGGGCAGGGGCGGGAGGGGTGGAGGGCCGTGGTTGGCTGTGGAAGGGGCGGTGAGCGAGGTTCTCTGGTCGCTAGGCGAGGCTTGGCCTCCCCAGCAGAGACGGGGGGAAGCGGCGGCGGCAGCGGCGGCCCTTGGGCCGGCTGGTGAGGCGATGGCGGCGCCAGCCCCGGGGCCTGGGGGAGCCTCCGGCGGGGCTGGCTGTAGCGGCGGCGGCGGCGGCGCGGTCGGCGGTTCGGGCTCAGGGTCTGCGGGGGCAGGGGGCCGGCTGCCTAGCCGGGTGCTGGAATTGGTGTTCTCCTACCTGGAGCTGTCCGAGCTGCGAAGCTGCGCCCTGGTGTGCAAGCACTGGTACCGCTGCCTGCACGGTGATGAGAACAGCGAGGTGTGGCGGAGCCTTTGCGCCCGCAGCCTGGCAGAAGAGGCTCTACGCACGGACATCCTCTGCAACCTGCCCAGCTACAAGGCCAAGGTGAGGGAGCCCGGGGCCACGCCACTGCCCCCAGTCCCGCTTCTCTGCGCCGCTCTCAGTCTCAGTGCTTCTCATCTAAGCTCTGACTCAGACGCCTCGCCTCATCCCGCCTTTGCGCGGCTGCAGTCAATACCTTACCTCACCTCCCCCCTCCATAAAGATCCTCTTCTCTTTGAAGTTCTGCTCCTTAACCTGCCCCACTTCCGTGATGTACTTTTTAAAGGACCAGATAGTTTGCAGTTCCTGGTTCCCATCACTCATTCCACTTTCCACAGTCTTCTCCCCAAAAGGCAGACCACCCCCCACTCCATTTTTGTACCTTTCAGTACTCTTATCTTGTTTTTTATTAGGTCATCTCGGCTGTCTTAACACCGGCTTAGTTTCTAAGATGTTTGCTTTCTCCCCACATTCACCTCACCTTTTCCAGGCTCTGATTTTTAACTGTTTTTCTCCCCTATTGTCTCCCAAGTTCTCTAATTCCCTCCATTATGTTTCAGGCTTAGGAGTGTGGTCCTAGACCTTCTACTGTGGTCCTAGACATTCTACCGTGGTCGTAGGGATTCTACTAAGTTTCAAGATACAGGCTTTAACAGAACATCCCTTTCTCCCCCATGGGCACCACTTAACTGTCCTAATGCTGCCTTGTCTCACTATTTGGCTACTTCTCTGCCAACTTTTTCATAGTTCCACCTTGATGGTATGCCTTTTCCGTTCCATTTGTCATCTAATGTGCTGATACCGGTTTTGCTGCCTTTTTGCCTCCTAGTTTCTTTGGCATATTCCTGCCTTGTTCATATACAAGTGAAAATTTCAAGTAACAGGTTATGGCAGGGCTGAGAAGATTCTTCAGGCAATATAAACAAAGGCCTGGAGCTTGTATTCAGTTGGATAGATAACAACTGTTCAGTACAGCAGTCACTGGGAGCATATATGAGAGAGGATGAAGCCTGCCCTAGAATGTGGTAAACATAAAAAAATACATTAATAACTAAAAAGGGTAGATACCACTTTTCAAACTAGACTGCCAAGGAGGAGTCAGAGTAAGAAGTAAATTTTTTTCTTTGTGAAATAGATGTAAAATTTATTCTTATGTAATAAAGGAAATTTTAGTTTAATACAATAAGGAATATTGCCATTATGTATGTCAACTATCAAATTTTTATTAAGTGAAATAACATGTTAATTTACTAGGACAATATTTGTACATGGTGGATGCTTAGTGGATACTAGTTGTAATTTATGTAGTAGAGCACAGAACATGGCAGTTTTGTCCTGCTTTGCCTGAAAACAGATAGGCTTCATACATTTTATTTAGCTTTTATTTTTTTATAAACCTTATTGTTTTTACTTATTTTCAACAAGACCTTTTTGTAATTGGTCTGTAATGTATCTATTTACACGAGTCCAGATTCACATGTTAGGTAATGTGTTAATGTGAGCCAACATGCAAAAGAAGCAAAATAATATCAGCAAAATGTCTTCTTTTGCCCCTGTCTGCCAGCCACCCAGTTTAGTTTCCTTTCTTGTACGCAACCCTATGTTACTTGTTTTTTGTATTCTTCCAGAGATATTTTAGGTTTCTTAGGTTTTTAAACACTTTATATGTCTTTCTACCACACTCATGGTAGGTATTGTAAACTAGTATTAATCATATGTTCATTCAGATGTTGCAGAACTTTTCTTGCATGTCTTGAGAATAAAAAGATTAATTCAAAAGAAGTCAGATAGCCTAGTAAGGAAGTCCTCAGTCAAGGAGAGAAGAAAAATGTATAGAAATAACACATGATAGAAATTGCTCCTGTTAGAGTTATTATAAATACTAGAAATATATATGTTCATACACATTAGAATTTCAGTGAAAGGAAAAATGTACAAGTTGAGTGGAGGCTTGGAGAAGTTTTGAGGTTAGGATTATATCTGAGCTGAATTTTAAAGATAGGATTTGAACATTTTACTAAGAAGAAATACCCTGAGCAAATGCAAGACAAGAGGAAAGCAAAGGATTTGTAGAGCGTATGTTTTTATTTTAAAAAACGTGAGTGCCAGGCACTGTGCTCAGTTTTGCAAATGCAGTGGAATAAAAACAGACCCAAAACTTGTATGGATGCCTTACTTTTTGGAGCTTATAGTTTAGTGGGGGGTGAGGAGATAGATATATATATATATTTTAAAGATTTTATTTATTTATTTGACAGATAGAGATCACAAATAGGCAGAGGCAGAGAGAGAGAGGAGGAAGCAGGCTCCCCGCCAAGCAGAAAGCCCGATGTGGGGCTCGATCCCAGGACCCTGGGATCATGACCCGAGCCGAAGGCAGAGGCCTTAACCCACTGAGCCACCCAGGCGCCCCGAGATAGATAATAAAATAATCACACAGTTATAAAATTGCATCTGTGGTAGACACTATGAAGGAGAAATACATAGTACTCTGAATGTCAGTAATGGAGGATTCGACCAAGGTAGGGAGGTCAAGGAAGGCTTTCTCTGAGGATACAATGCATGAAGTAAAACCTGAACAGTAAGGCCAAGGGGAGAGAAAAGAGCCTTCCCGGAGGAAACTTGATGAGTATGAGAGGTAGAAAACACATCAGTATGGCTGGATCATGGAGAGCAAAGGTGAGACAGGTTTGAGAGAAAAATAAAGAGGTGGGTTGAGGCCAAACTATAGGGAAGCCATTTTGACTTGTAAGCAAGAGGGGGTTAGGAGTGTGGAGATTGGTGTGATTTTTTTTTTTTTTTTTTTTTTTTTTTTTGCATTTTTAAGAGGTTATTTCTGACTTCAGTATAGAGAACAGATTGGAGGAGGACCTTAGAAATACGGGTAGATCAGTTAGAAAGTGGGTAGTGTAGGAGATGGGGAGAAATGTAGGAAATATTTAGAAAGTAAAATCTACAGGACTTGGCAATAGATTTGAAATAGGGGTGGGGGAGAGGGAGGTGCTAAGAATGACTCCTAGATATCTCAATTATATAATTATGGGAATCACCTGGGCTAGATTTAGGAGGAATAGCCTGAGTTCAATTTTGGTAGAGTAGAATTTACAGTGTTTTTGAGACATCTGAGAGATTTCAGATAGGCAGCTGTTACAGTTTGGAGCTTAGAGGAAAGGCTAGAGATATAAAAGGGTTTAGGGAGATTGAATTGAAGAAGTGGGGAGTATAATTGTAAAGGTAAGTTGAGACTAGATATACTATGGATGTTCTTGGCATATCGGCTTCATTGTATAGTTTGGACTTTATTCCTCACCTCCCCCCTCCATAAAGATCCTCTTCTCTTTGAAGTTCTGCTCCTTAACCTACCCCACTTCCGTGATGTACTTTTTAAAGGACCAGTACTCTTACCTTGTTTTTTATTAGGTCATCTCGGCTGTCTTAACACCGGCTTAGTTTCTAAGATGTTTGCTTTCTCCCCACATTCACCTCACCTTTTCCAGGCTCTGATTTTTAACTGTTTTTCTCCCCTATTTTCTCCCAAGTTCTCTAATTCCCTCCATTATGTTTCAGGCTTAGGAGTGTGGTCCTAGACCTTCTACTGTGGTCCTAGACATTCTACGTGGTCGTAGAGAGGCAGAGAGAGAGAGGGGGAAGCAGGCTTCCAGCCAAGGAGAGAGCCGGATACGGGACTCGATCCCAGGACCCTGAGATCATGACCTGAGCCAAAGGCAGAAGCTTTAACCCACTGAGCCACCCAGGCAGCCTAAAATATGAACTTTTAAAAAGAAGACAAATCTTAAATAGACTGGAGATTCCAAATACTTTAGAGTTTTATGCTATCCTATGCCTGTTCCCATCCTCCTCTTAGCTGGACAGGCTCCCTGGAAATCCTATGACTTTATCTTTCTTCTTCTTCATCTCATTCACTCCCAGTCAGCTGTCCACTTATGGCATTTGTTCTCTGTGATAGCTCTCCTAAACATCCTCTTCTCTCCTCTGCATATTTATTCAGGTCTTAAGGACCTCTGGTATAGGTACTAACCCCTGTTCTGTCCAATTCATCTTACGGCCTAGTTTTTCTAAACCACAGCTCTTGTCACTCCTCTGTGCAAATGTCTGTGCAAAGATTTAACCCACTGAGCTACCTAGGCACCCTGTTTGTTTGTTTGTTTTTAAGATTTTATTTGTCAGAGAGAGCATGCACAAGCAGGGGGAGAGGCAGGCTCCCCACTGAGGAAGGAGCCTGATGGGGGACTTGATCCCAGGAGGCTGGGGTCATGACCTAAGCCGAAGGCAGACGCTTAA